GAAAAGAATTAAAAATTAAATATATGAATTTTTAATTTCCAATTGATAGAGACAATTTACAATTGATTTTAAAGTTTGACAAATCATCCCCAGCGGAGTCGCCAAGCTTCGTAATCGGTTTTTCGTCCGGGCACGAATTTGTTTTTGGCGGGAAAAGTGATGTGAATAAATGGTTTTTAAAATAATTTGGGAGTCGCCATCGGCCTTTTGGGTTAGGTAGGTCGAATACCTAAAAAATTATCTTTTAAAAGAGTTTTTAAGAAAACATCAGTTAAAAGATAAACTGATATGCGTTTTAACCAAAAATTCATTCTTTTTAGAAATAAAAAGGGATTCGTAGTCGATTACGTTTAGGGAAGGATTAGCACCCCTACAACTCCAAAATTGGTACTTTTTAATTATAATTTGTCTCTATTATTAGAAATTAAAAATTCAAAGATATATTTAATTTATAATCTTTTTTTTATTTCAAATTTATGATTTTATGAAAATATATTCATATAAATAAGATATTTATTTATTTAGAAATATCAGAAAAGGGCTTCTAGGTGCTTTAAGGCAGCTCTTTTCTTTGATATAAAAATAAATAAAACATTTATTTAATATAGGATTTATAAAAATAGGATATTTAGTAAAAATATCAGAAAACAGACTTCTAGGTATTTTAAGACAATCATTTTCTTAATATTGAAAAATAAATATATATTAAAATATGATTATTAAAAGTAATTTATGAAATATAGAATTTTGATAGAAAACAAACAGAATAAATAAACAAATATTATTATATATATATTTACTTATATAAATAATAATAATAATAAAAATAATAATTAAAGCAATAATAATAAAATAATATTGCAAATAATGATTAAAATAAAAGGAAAAAAATAAATAGTATTAAAAATAAATAGTCAAAAATGAAAATTTAATGATTAAAATATAAAATTATAAAACTAGAGTCCTAATTCGAAATATATAAAAGGTGGGCATTAAAAGTGTAATTTAACCATAATTCATAATACGGATTAAAATAAAAAATACTAAACTATGAGAGACTAAATTTGATATTTACCTAAATATATATATATATATATATGCTGATAAGGACTAAATTAAAATAAAATAAAATTAGAAGACTAAATTAAAATAATCAAAAATTGCTTTTAGTGATTAAATTGCAAGGTATACAAACTTGGAGTACTGCGGACGGGGTTTACCCTTTATGAAATTACAGAAATACCCTCCCCAAAACGACGTCGTTTGGGGAGGGTTTAAATACCCAATCGGCCGGCCCTTATGGGCCATTTTTCATTTCTTTCATTTCTTTCTTTCTGAGAGAGAAAACTCTCTCTGTTCTCTCTAAACTCTCTCCCCGGAGAGAGAGCTGACCACCGGCCGTCAACCGTCTGCCGCCGTAATCCCCACCGCATCCGGTGGCCGAAAAATCTTATTTTTATACTAGAATGTAGGTCGGACCGTCCTAATGACGGTTCCGGTGTTCCTTTCTCTTAAATAGCTCCCGATCGGAGCAAATCTAGGAAAATACCTTCGGTTTTCAAAGGTTTTTTATGACGCCTGGAGGCCGGTGGTGACTCCGATTGAGGTGTTGTCTTCCTCGGTAAGTTTCTCTCGCTTTTTTATTTTATTTTGGTGTTTGTGGTTGCTGGTTTGCTTGCCATCTCTTCGTTTTTCTTCTTTTGTCTTTGTTCTCTGTTGCTGTCTCCTTGCTTTCCGTGGCTGTTGGGTTTTTTTTTTTATATTTTGCTCGGTATCTCTCGGTCGCTCTCTGTTTGCAGGTTTGGGTGGTGGCTTTTATAGCCACCACAGTGTTCGGCTCGGACCAGTCCAAAGGGGGAAGCTTTGGTGAGTCACCAAACTATTATGGTGACTCACCCCTAGAGCAGCGACGTGTGTGGCTTCGTGGCGGTTCTAGAGACTTCGACGATGGTGGTGCCGTGGCAGTAAGGAGTCGGCAGCTGCTGGTTGGGTCACTTGGTGTTGGAGGTGTCGACAGTAACTGAATAGTTGAGGAGGAGGTGGCTGGGATGTAAACCCTAATTAATATTAGGGTTATATATTTGGGTCTTATAATTTAATATTTGGGCCTGTAAAATAAATAAAATTATTTAATAATAATAATAAAATAATTATAATTATAATTATTATAATAAAAATAATAGAACCGGGATAAAAATTTAGTGTCTTCAGTATGTATAACCTCCTCCTGAACTGGTAAACAAATTGTTGAAAAAGACAGTTGCCTGGCGCCGTAACTTATCCTGATCGGAGCACCGATTTCCATCATCATCACTCAAAGCTACAATTGTGTAAATCCGACGTCTCCCCCTTGCACATGCATGAAAATACTTTGTATTTCGATCCCAAAAAAGATTCCAATTACAGCGCGACTTCTGGAACCATAAACTTTCCTCCTGCTGAAGAACTGTCTCCAACTCCTCCCTAAGATCATATTCAAGAGCCCGAAGAGAATCTGAATGACGGGTCTCCAAGACACGTTGAATACCCCTGATGCGCACTAAGATAGTTTTTTCCGTTTCTCAATACTTTCGAAAGTCGGACTATTCCAGTCTACCAACTTGGATTGAAGAGTAGCCAGATTTGCCATAACATCTTCTTGATTCCACCAGGAGTCCCAAAACAAAGCATTGAACTCCGAATGATTCTGCCAAGCAAATAAAAAGTGGAAAGGAGGGGATCTAGAAGACACCACCTGGGACTGCACATGAAGATGAGGACAATAATCCGAACCAATCCTCTCCAAATGAGTAACAGAAGATCCCAAGTATCGAAGAATCTAATCTGCGTTCACAAGATAGCGATCAATTCGCTGATGAGAGATCCCCTGGCACAGGTGAAGGGGAAACCCCAAAAACTAAGATCCATCAAACCATTATCAAACACAAAATTTGAAAAACCACGACTAATTTTCGTTCTTCCTACAACACCACTCTTTCTCTCCGACACATACAACACACATTAAAATCACCTCCCAGATCCTAAACATGACCCTGCCCTGGATCTAAATCACTGAGCTAGTTCCAGAGACGGTTACGGATCGTGACATTCGGGATAGCATAAACTCCCGTAATATAAATTGGATCCGATCAATTCGAGTAGCGGACTCTAGGTACTGGTTTGCAAGACTGAGAATCTTAACTTGAACCTCATCCCGCCACAGTAGCCAAATACTACCACTAAAACCAGAAGCCTCTACTCTAAATGAATTTGGAAAGCCCAACTGACGGATTACCCCATCTGCCTGGACCTCACTGACTCTTGTCTCAAACAAAAAGACAACCGAAGGATGATGAATATTAATAAAATTCCTGAAAAAGAGGCGAAAAGTAGGGCTTGCAGCGCCCTGACAGTTCCAAAAAAGACATTTAACCATGGGTAAAAACAAACTAAAAAGAGGTATTACCCGGCGGAGCTAAATTCTCGCAAGCCAAATCGTTGTTCTCCTCTATATGGTTCGCATCCGTAGTCCCACCTAGATCCCCATTCGGATCTTCGCTTAATTTATCAATCATTCGAGTGGCTGACTGAATCCAATCGGAGAGCAATGCCCTCCCTGGAGTTTTATGGCCAGTCAGTTTCTTAGCTGTGAGCACAGCCTGTGGAGTCAAACTCTTTCCAAGCCCAACCTTCTTGCTTCTCTCTTTCGACCATATACCATGAGGTGGACGATTTTCAACAATCCGGATAGCTTTGTGAGATACCCCAACGTCACTCCTAACATTGGTTACATCCTTCAATGGTACTATCGGACTTACTCCAGTTCTCGTTGACCCGCTTCCGCCCTCAACAATTGTATCTGATGGGACGATCTGCTCCCTCGGAGAGGGCACACTCTAAACAGCTTGAGATGCTTTACTATTTGTATCATTCCAGTAAACTTTGTCTCCTAAAACCTCTTTACCCTTGCGACCACTGGCCTCGTCCACCAACGGAGCACCTGCAACACTACTAGGATCCACATTCTCCTTTTTTGACACCTCCGACAGATTGCTCAAAGCAACAAAACGTGAACTAGATGGCCCGGATGCCACCTGATTTTTAGTAAAGGCCACAACATCCTTACGGGGACGTCTCTTGCGATTTTCCACAATCATCCGTGGACTGAAAAGGTCCCCAGACTTCACTGTCAGTTCCACAGGGTCCCCAGATTCTGAAACCTGTTGCGATTGCCCATTCGGATGTAGCCCCACAGAGTTCACCACACTACATGTTTCTTGCGAGTGGCCATAGGTGCCACACTTAAAACAAAATCTTATGTAAACTTTCATACTCAATTCGCTGTACAAATTCATCAATCCTTATGCACGGAAGCAAAGGTTTATTAAGATCAACCGTGACAGCCACCCGAACAAACTTGCCCCGTTCTCCTATTTAAGTGTTGTAATCAACCTTTATGATTTTTCCAATTTCAGCAGCAAGCAAACGGAACAATGACTTAGAGTAGTAGCGATATGGTAGATCAGAAAGGCGAATCCAAACTACCACATACGAGGGATGATCATCTGCCGTATTGAACAATCGGCTCCATGGTTGAACCGTGAGATAACTTCAAAAAATTACCCACAGTCCATCCGCCAATGCCTTCATATAGTCGTTGTCTTTCTCAAATTGGACCAAATAATAATCATTGGCCAAATCTATCAACTAAAATTTTCCGATTGGCTCCCATAAAACCAATTTTCTATACGGAATTGGCACGTCTGCATGTTGGGACGCACACGCTTCTTATAGCCTACTCCTTCCAGTTGTCCTGTCCATGGCTTTTCTTATTTATTTGTCTTTTTACAACGCAGCTTTGAATTCTCTTTTTCTTCATTATGACTTAATTACTCGCTTTGTATTGGTTCTTTTATAATCATTTTAAAATTAATATTAACAAATTTATTACAATTTTTAAAAGTCCACAACAATATTTACAGGACTGTTTATACTCAAGAATATTTACAATAAGCCGATGATGCTTGAACAGATTCCATATTCTGTTTTCAATTTCTTTTTTTTGGTTGGTTTCCCCAATTCTTTTGCAATGATTCATTTACAACATTCCAAGTTCATAACAATTACTTATAGTTCACAAACCCATAGAAAGAAACTCTTTGTCGGCTGGTTTTCCCAGCAAGCTACATATGTAAATCCTAATAAAATATGGAGAAAAACTGTAATTTGATCCTATATTTTGAGACTCTCCATTCTCGTTCCCCCCCCCCCCCCCAATTGGACTTTGCTGAAAACATTCTTCCTGAAATGGCTGCTGCCAATGCTGCTGTGAAATTGGGGTCTTTACTCAAAGAAGTTGCCATCTGTTCCACCAAATATTGTCTGACTTGTGGTGAATCCCTTTCTGGTTTTCTGGAACAGCGGTTCCTAGCTTCATCACCACCACTGCGCTTAGATTTTGTGAGGCCTAGACAAATGGTTGGTCCAGATGGGTTCAATGAGGATGAACCATGGCTCAGATTGTGGCTTGTACCGGATGTTGGCTCCATTTGGGATTGGGGAAGATGGTTGTGTTCACCTTCATATGTTGCAACCATAACTGATTGATCATCAGCACTTCTTTGCACCTGAAAACATCAACAACAACAAAATTCATCTTCTGCTCCAGATGTTTGATGAATTGTGACTGGGAATTTCAAGAGCAAACTGTAATGTAATGAAACCAGGCTTACCTTCTTTTTAACAGGGCAGCTTGGAGCAAAAGAACACTTGAAGTAAGCTCTTGGGGAAGGATTATCCCTGGTGACTTTCTGCCCATATTTCCTCCACTGATATCCATCCTTTACGATCTGAATTTGTTTAACCGAATTGCTTAAGAAATTAAGTAAATTTGAACTATTCAGAATCCAATGAAGTTTATAATTTATGTGAAATATCTTACGAGGCCAGTGTCAGATGCTTCAGTCCTGACATAAACTCTGGAGATTTTGGCCTTTATAATTTCTTCTCTGGGTTTCTTGCATGCATCTTCATCACTTGAGCTGCTCTCTGAGTTTCCAATGATGCCCAAGTTATAACTATTATTATCATTGTTGTCGCTGTTATCAGATTTTCTTTTCTTTGAAGGGCTAATCTCTTTTCCTGGACTTTTGCTCATTAAATCCATCACCTGGCTTCGCAAAGCACTGTAATTCTCACACATGGCTGTTAATGTTTCTGTTAGCTTCTTGTTTTCTGCATTTACACGGTCCAATTCTTCCACTAAAGCACCAGTCTGCAAAACAAGAACAAATGGCTTATAAATTGACAGATTCTTAGAAAATCAAGTCGAATCTATGGATTCATTTTAGAAACGAAAATTTCCCATCAAGTACACATAAAACGTACCTCTTTCACGGAAAGTTTCTTTCCAAACACAATTAAGTTTCCATTTGGTTCATTCTTCTGCTGAAACATATGATAACAGATTTCCAGTTTAGAAAACTCAGCTAAAAACGTTAAAAATCACAAGAAATGTTCAAACAATTTTCCAGAACAAATTTTGATGTACCAGAGTTTCTTCAAGTCGTAGGGGCCTAGCTGAGGAAGGACTGAGATCCAATGAAGTATCCACCCAAGAAGAAGCATCCATAGCTTTTTCTCCCAACAAAACCGGTTCTTTTCAATCTTTTAACAGAGACCCAGATCAAGTTTATCCACACAAAAAAAACCCTGGAAATTGCCTCAAATTGACCAATTAAGAAGAAGAAGCTACTTTATGCTATTATAGGAAGGTCCAAAACAAGTTCTCCTGGTTGGCTCAAAATAGTTTATTTATATATTTACAGAGTGGTAGAAGCATGAAGAATGTGCTCATAACAAAACAAAATTAATTTCCAAGAAGAAAATTAGATTGGATTATTTGTCGGTTAGGTTTGAAAATCTTACAAATAGCTTGGTTTTTTTGTCAAAGTCAAGTAGTGTCTTTTATACTTTAATAACAAATATATTGTTTTTGGAGAGAGAAGTTAGTTGTTGACCAATCTCTCCCAAACAATATTGTCTTTGCCTGGTCTATTTTTCTTATTAATTTTATATTAGGTAAATTACGCCGATGGTCACTAATGTTTGAGTAGTATTTATTTTCACCACTGATGTTTGAGAAGTCACAAATTAGTCATTAACATTATAGTTTGTTACAAAATGTATTTGGATAATTGTTCATTTTCATCACTGATGTTTGAAAAGTCACAAATCAATCATTAACGTTATAGTTTGTTACAATATGGCCACTAACGTTATCGTTTGTTACAAAATGGCCACTCGACGTTAGCAACCATTAACAAATCGTTACTACAGTAACAAAATACTGATGTGACACGTTAAATCAGCTGACTCGGCATGTTTGACCGATCATTTGACTCTTCTTCTTCTCCTCCTCCTCTGCGTGAGTTGAATTTTTAACTTTTTTTCAAGGTCCCCGCAATAAATGAAAGAGATGGTATATATATATTCCCATTTTGGTATGTATTGGATCAAACATGATAATATGCAAATATTGAATGAAAATAACCTTGGTTTTTAATTATCCATAGTTGAATCCATCAAAAGAACCATGCAAGCAATGGCAACAGGAAACCGGTTGATCTTATAGTAAACCCCAGGCTAGTATAATATATAACTTTGGTTTGGATGATATAATAATTCCTGTATGACAAGAGTGCAACTCAATGGCAGGAAGATATGTGATAAAGAAAGAACAGATATAGTAGTCGCATACAAAAATATAAAGTCCAAGATATAAATCATTCGGTTCATAGCGTCGTTCTAGAAAGATGATATTCGAATGCTACACAGCGTCACGGACATGGGCCAGAATATAAATAACAAGTTATGTTTAACGAATTTAAATAAGGCCATATGCTTTCCATGGCCGAAGATAGGGAATTAAGAAGATGAGTTCCATAGCCATCAACGTTCATGTGGTTTTATTCCTATTAATAAGAGAGAGAAAAAGCATATAAGTTGTTGGGGGGCAACATAGCAAATAAATCCAATGGAAAACTAGAAATGTTTCTGTAACCCCTAGACCAGCCTAAGAGTTACAAATGAATTAGGGTGACCACGTTGATCGCATAAACGATCCTCAAACGAAAATTATTAATGAGTCATTTTGAAAACATTTAACGAATATAAAATCATAAATAAACTCATGCCCTATCTTAAGAAGGTTGAGAAATAAATATTAAACCACATATAGTATATAATCGAGACAACGCCTCCGATAGCCAAATTGGTCGTATATCAGATTAATCTGAAAAAAAGATAGAAACGGAGTGAGCTACAAATCTCAGTGTGTCCTCTAGATTACATCAGGTAATATCAAAATCCAGAAAATTAGAACGTAAAATAATAAACAAAATAATTATCGAACAATATTAAAATTCAAATATTTTACCAACATATTGTCCCTACGGAAATTCACAATCTTACATTTCGTTCTGAATCATGAATTTGTACATTACCTTACAAGGAGACATCCAAAACTGAATACCAAAATCAAAATGAGGATTTAGCCCTCCGTAGAGGATCCCAACAGAAAAAGAACGAAAATATAATCTCATGTAGATGTCAGAACGGGGAATTAATCCCATGTAGATGTCAGAATGGGGACTAAGCCCATGTCGAATTAGAAATGCATCAACATGCAAATTAATGGTGATGTCACAACATTCAGAAGTAAGATATGTCGCGTATATATATATATATATATATATATATATATATATATATATATATATATATATATATATCACGAACATGTTTACAGATAGCACCATATAACATAACATGTTAAATATATCGAATAGGTCAAGGGGACACACCTATAAGAGATAATCAATATCAGCTAGGCCTTATGTTTACCACGATCAGTAGTACTAGATCATACGAATCAGGAACCTAAAACAATATTCTTTCATAAATGTGGATGACAATAATCTAAATAGAAATATAATATAAAATCATTAATTTAATACTTACGTGTATCTCAGGACGAGTGAGAGGACTCGACTGAGTAGAACGGTAGTGGTTAGGGTCTACTAGTGAGCGATCCAGAGACACGAAGACACCTTCAGAAAATTAAACCCAAAAGTGAGTTCAAAACCTCACAATTTACTTAACATAATTAGGACTTAAAACGAAAAATGATGCAAAACAGGCTTTCGAGTCAGAATTTGACAAAACGGAATGCGAAAACAAATTCAGGACATCGAAAAATTTCAAGATAGAGGTCTTCAAAAAAAAAAAAACTCAAAAGTCATCGGAAAAATCAACGGTCTAGGTCAACGATCAAAGACAAAGTCAACAAGTCGTGTTGGGCAAAGTCAACGGGTCAGGACCGGTTCAGGGTCAAATCGGTTCAATCAAACCAGCATAATGAAGCCCATTGTAGTCCAGCAGTGCGTGAGGTGCGTGGGACCTCCTCGGGTGGCCGGACAAAAACAAAAAAATTACAGAAAATATTTTAAAGTAAGAGAAGTTACTTACACTCATCGATTTCCTGAAAAGATCAACGAAAAAGGAGTTTTTACAAAACCCGGCTATTTGAACATTCACTGATTACAAACAACGATGGTGAACATAAATCCTAGAACACCGGACGAACAAGGTCGACGAGATGAAAACAATGATACCAGAGATGTCGCACACCACCACACAGTTAGCGGTGAATCTATGAAAAACTAAAATGGGTTGATAGAGAGAAAAATATTTATGGTTTTCACAAACAGGAGGAAAAGAGATGAGAAGAAAGGCGTTGGTTTTTAAACCAACTTAAACTTTTGGGTACATTGTTCCCTAAGTCTCTAAACTTTCAAAAACTCACAAACTGACATTGACTTTTACAATACTTTTAATTTAGTCCCAATTTGGGATGTGACAGTTTCAAAAAGAACAAACAAATTTTAAAGGTGATCGTAAATGGCCTTGGTAAGGTCGGTTGTTGATGTACTACCGAGGTCGGCAGTTTGGTATTTAGTATTTACCCTCTACGATTGTGTTGAGGATGACATCTTGAATCCTATCCATCTTGTCATGGAGATTTAAGTGGCGCAACATTGAGACTGAACTCAATAGTAAAGTAGTTGGATTTGCTTTAGAAGTTATGCAATATATTATGAAAGACAAATATAACACCCCTAACCCGTATCCGACTCGAATATGAGTCCGAGGTGTCACATTGACTTTTCAAACTTTGACAGTTAAAGAAAAACAGGGATTTTAAACTTTCATTAAAACAAAATACTTTAATTTACATAAAAGAGATCACTAAATACAAAATCGACCAGAGCATTCGTAATTAACAACTTATTACATGCCAACACTCTATACACAACCCAAAATACCTACTTTGCCAACTACTTCTGATCTGATCTTTTAGTAGTGATGCTATTCTTGCCACTTCTAGTACTGCTCTTCTTGTTTCCTGGTACCTACGTGTAAATCACTTACACGCTAACTCATAGACTGAGTGAGGCAATAAATAAACATGTAGTTGTAGATTCATAAATATGCATTCTTACCATTTGATCATGACATTTCAATATACATGAATATATTTCACTATAACCGATATAATCATGTCATGTACATATGAAACTTATCTTTTTGTATCATTTTCACCTTAATTTATCTTTCAATTGCCCATGTACATTATTGAGAACAGATGTATTTGAGTACATTGAGGTTGTGCACTAGTGCTGTCACCACAGCTCAATAATTTCCCTCATGGGGCACTGAACATTTGTTCAGTATTTGTCCCGAATGACCACTAGATACGTCTCGAAGGATGACTGGATACGTCCCGAAGGACCACTGGATACGTCCCGAAGGACTAATATACCCTCGACTCTTAGCATGCCAACTATACCTATAGCTCTCGTATCATATAACATGAGCTTTAATATGAATACATTTCTCATTTCATATATCTTTCATCACTTTTCATATAAACCCATAATCTTTTCCATTATTTCACATACCTGGATTATATTCTCTGGCAATGATATTCGTCCATTCAATGTCATATGAACATATAATGAATTATGCATGCAATCACTATTACAATAGTATATGTATGTATATACATGAGTATAAAATCATGAATTCAACTATCAGAGATAGACTTATCACAAGTCTTGTCTCTATACACTTTAACTATAAAATACACTCACCTTAGCCTTGCTTTGATTTGATTCTAATCCTTCGATTGTTCTGGAATAAGATTATGCTCTAAATCTACATAGTAATACATTGATACTTATCACATACGAATTGATATATTCCAAACTATTAATCCTTAGGCTAAAAGAAAGTTATTTCCATCTCTTACTGAAGGTATGCATCGATGCACTACACCATGTATCGATGCATCCCTTGACGGGTACACCGATGCATCCCTTGGCGGGTGCACCGATGTATCCCTTGACGGGTGCACCGATGCATCCCTTGACGGGTGCATCGATGCACTACCCATGCATCGATGCATAAATCTTATTCGATGTTTGTATTTTAAATAGGTGCATCGATGCACTCCTTATGCATCGATGCACTAATGGCATTCGATGTTCATTTATATTAAATGAGTGTATCGATACACTCCATGTGCATCGATTCACCTTCAACAAATTCTGGGATTTTCTCTTGATGCATCGGTAAACGTTGAATGTGCACCGATGCACTCTGCCCAGAATTCATTTTTTGAA